AAGGAGAGTGCACAAACAAATATGTCTAGTCCTCAGTATCATATACCCCTTCAAACTGGCTCCAAGGTGGCTTTGATGTTGCCATTTCAAGAATCGTACAGCCCAAACTCCACACATCTACTGCAAGAGTGTAGCCATTGTTGTTCATTATAACCTGAGATTTCAAAGAGAACAAGAAAACATAAGCACGACGAATATCCATTCAGCTGCAGGAACATAATACCCTTCTACTGCGACATGCACCACTAACCAGAGCTTTTCTAGGAAAACCAAGAACAAGGAATAAGGTAAATACCTCGGGTGCCATCCAATAAGGACTTCCGTTGAAAGAGAGCATAGTAGAATAGGCTGTTACCTGCTGAGGAAAAAAAATGCCTCTTAGAACTTCTGCAAGCATAACATTCAGGAAATAAAAAAATATCGACGAGATATCAAAGACTTAATATCTCCTATTACCTATTGGTGACGTTCTAGAATAAATATCATTTATTTGGTTATGATGGACATCAAAATACTTACATGCTTTGCCATCCCAAAGTCTACCAACTTGATTTCACCATTTGGATCCACTAAAATATTTGCTCCTTTGATATCCCTGTTGAAACAAAATAATAAATCTTTATTCAATTTCCAAGAAACATGTGAAGTTCCATTCACCTTTATGATGTAATTTAGGATATAACAGTCAAAATACCTATGCACTGTGTTTCGCCCATGTAAATAGGCAAGCCCAGCGAGAATCTGCCGTGTATAGTTTTGGATAACTGGTTCAGTGAAAGGACCATACTCCTGGAGTAGTTTATAAATTGAACCACCTGACACATACTCCAAGTAGACGGACAAGGTTTCTTCACTCTACAAGCATAACAAATGTCCAGCCAGGCTTCAATATGTTTCCATTAGTACAGATACAGTATTACACTGCCCAAACTCAATAAGCCTTTATGATCTCTTTTTTCTTGAAGCTCACAGAAATTGACACATACCAGTTCACTTCCGTAATACTGAACAATATTCGGATGACAAAGCTGGCTCAGCACATTTATCTCCTGCAAATTAAAAAGACTGGTTAGAGATGTGACAAATATTAGTTTGTTCAAGTTTGTTCAATATAAGAGTTGAAAGGAATCAGGTCATGATGTATACAAAAGATGAGGCGAAGCATAAACACCTGATTTAGTTGCTTCAGACATTCTTTTGATGTTTTGTCGTCAGAAATGACCTTGACCTCTTTTATAGCACACATTTTTCCTTTCTCACTGCAAGATTAGGGAGAACATTATGCAAGGGTACCAACCAATTTAGAAAAGCGGATGCTACAAAGTTGTAATATAATGTATATAAATGGAGCTAGCATAATAGAAACTTTTGCTCTCAATTGCCTTTATCTAGATGGCAGGCAAAATTAACCTTCAAGTAATAGCAGACATGAACCATCAGAAATGTCCACACAACCCATCAAACATAACCCCAACAGCATATCAAAGTTAAAAAAACCTTCAGAAGTCATGACAAATACCCAAACCCATCACATGTAGTTATAGATATTAATGGTCTCTGGATCCAGGTGAATGCAAATATACTTTCCACCTACAGAGAAAGCTAGCATCAAACTCCCTATCTATTAGAACATTGCACATAACATAATCCACACAAGTGGAAGGCTTTCCTTAACCAATGGTAGCTAGCTCGTGTCACCTAGAACTTAAGCAATCTCACTCATCAAATATTCCTTGTCTGTAATTTCACAATTTTATCAAAATTCTTCAAGGGAATCAATAAAAGGAACTCATTTTCACCTGTTGAAACCTTGATACACTTGGCCGAAGGTGCCACTCCCAAGAAACTTGCCTTTTTTCCACTTGGAGAAGCCCAAGGAAGACGGCTCAGGCCCTCCTCCAATCCTAGACCCATGCACAGGCACAGCAGAGGGGCTTGTGGGAGAAGTCGGAGGCAGAGGCAAACGGTGACACTCAGAGGATCTTACATCATCATTCCTCCCTGTCGAAGAGTCTAAGCTCATGCCAGACAATCGGCTATGCAAAGGAGACGTGGGCCTAGTTGCTGCCATTGGAGACACTCTCTCGGGGCTACGTGGTGCTGCGTTGAATTTCACATCACCATTTCCCCTGCTATACGTTTATGAGTTAGACCCACCAATCCAGAATCCAGCATGAATAAAGCAATTTCCGTGGGCAAAGTAATGAAGTTAAGATCACTATGTCACTATCCGACCTAAATCGTACTATTAAAGATAGGGAAAAAAGCGAACCTGCAACCTCCGAGTTGACCCTGATCATCAGCTGATCCGGATGAGCTAACGCTGGAAACAGAGGCCGATCCGGAAGTGGAACCACTTACTTGATCGTTAGGGAAGGAAGAGATGGATGGACGGGGAAGAGGATGACATTTCTTCTCTGTAGAATCGGAGTCGAAGCCGGAGAAACCAGAAGCTCCGGCGAATTCTCGACTGCAACGAGGTGTGCTGCGAGAAGGAGTAGGTGGATCAGCGGAGGTCTTGTTATCTCCGGTGATTCCTCTGCTATTCTTGTCGATAACGGAGCGACTCTTGTTCTGAAGAAGCTGGTTATCGTCCTTAGTCTTACCGCACTTTTTCACCCACCAAGTAGGCATCCCAAACGGATGGGAATGATTTCAAAACTGAGATTTAGAGAGAATCAAAAGAAGAAGAGGGAGAGAAGGAAAAAAAGCTTGAATTAGGGCATGAGAAGGAGGATAAAATACGGAAGATGGAAAGGGAAGAGGAAAATCCGAGAAGGAAGGAGAGAGGACAAGT